ACACACACACACACACACACACACACACACACACACACATACACACATAATATTTATTTTTTATTAAAATTGCATTGTGTGTGATCTGTTTTATGCATGCATTTGATGCAGAGCATGAATAATATAATATAATATAACATTTTCTGTTTTGATTCCATTAATGACAGTACATTTCTTTCTTTGCTCTTGTCTTGTGAATCTTCATCGAATTGATTTCGGAAAAGATAACGTCAGTTATATACTTATATACGGACGCTAGATATATTATATTTATCTACAAATATTCGTAGTAGTCTGTTATTTGAATAAAATAATATCAGATCTATTATACTATACTAATTTTGAAATCATTACTGTACATAGCTCGCGTGCATTTTTTTCATAGAAAATTGACATATCGCATGATATCGAGACATTTCTTTACAGAAGGCTGCATCATTATATCAGGTTATTTTCCAATCATTATAACAGTAGGAAATCAAGTTTTATGATTGCATATTTCCTGTGTACTTTTATTACATTGACTTATTTAAATATCAGCCATATTATTGGCATAAAAAACACACAAAATTCTTACATATGAATCCCTTTCAATTATACCTATAATTTTAAGGAAATTAAAATTTCAATCTAGAAATTGAATAAACAACTTCTATATTGACAAATATACAAGTTATCTATCTGAGATTGAAATTTTTTAATTTAAATTAAAAGTTACAAATACATCTTTATTTAAAAGAGTATTCTCAATTTCTCATAAATTCATGAATTGGATTTGCGATATGGTTGAGAAGTGAAAATAATCGTATCTATTGTATGCTGTTCAGAGGTCGCAAGAACCCGTTTGCGAGAAGAAGGCACCAAATATCGCACATTCTGGCAAACTTTGAACACTGTATGGATGGAGGAGGGTATGAAGGGTCTCTATCGTGGCCTTGGCACTCAGCTAATTCGACAGATTCCAAATACCGCTATCATAATGGCAACATACGAAGCGGTAGTGTACGTGCTGACTCGACACTTCCATCCGGTTACAGTAAAATCAAGTACCGATGCGACATCGGAATTCTACAACGAAGCTAAAGCGAAGAGAGAGCTGGCCTAGGATTTGCTTACGGCCCCCGAGTAAAGGGCCACCTATCAACTATTTCCCTCTTTTCCAGTAGACGAATACCACACATACTTGAGGCAGCATAAAGTTTCGTCGCACGTCTAGGCGCATCGAAAGCAGCTGGAAATGCGTTCAATGTCCTAATCGTTGCTCCAAAAGGTACTCAAAAAGGTACCAGTTCTTTGGTCGCACTGTACTCTAAAAGTATAGCAAAAAGTAGTCCTTCCTCCTTTCAGATAGCATGTACATATCCCAGGCATGGACCCGCTGTATCTCGCAAGGAAAGAAAGGGAAAGGGAGAGAAAAATGAATTAAGGAAAGCAGATTTAGCGTCGAAATAGACGAAGGCTGAGACTTCGCTTCTCGCGAAAATGTGGACGTGCATGTATATCATGAACAAATGGACTTGTATTATATGCTACAAGATTTATTTGATGCAAGATTCTCTGCTCTAGAATCAAAACTCGCTCCGAGCCCGAAACGTGTGAAGTTCACTATAATAGTCACTGTAGATTTTAGATCTCTGACGAGTTTTGATTCCGGTGCTATTTTTTCCACAATTTGTAGGTTTTTTCTTGCATCTCATCCTTTTTTTTATTTATAAGAAAAGATTTTTAAAAAATCTGAAGCTGTAAAATTGCAGATGTATAGGAATGGATTCTATTTGTTACCGTACAATGCTCGATAAAAGAGCAGCAAATATAATAGTTTGTGATTTACACCAGGCGCTTAGAATTTCTAAGTTGCTTCAAATAAAATCGCTATGTTAGAAAGTGTTTATTTTAAAGCTCGATTCTCTCGTGACATGGGTTGTGTGACGTCAGAGGCGAGAAATGACATGTAAAAAGTTTCTGCGTTATAGCTATATCTTGTACTTTTCCCTTAAAAACATATTTTCGTATTCTTAAAACTTGTAAAAAATACCAGAAAATAAGATATCTGTCCAATAAATCGTAAAGGTGTAAAATAATTCTTGTAAAATAATTCTTGAAATAATGGTCACTGTTCAGCTATCAGAAACAACTAGATCTAATAATCTGGTAATTTCTGATAGGTAAGCAGTATACCATTTTACACTTTTATGTGATTTATTGGACAAATATCTTACTTTCTGGTATTTTTTACAAGTTTTAAGAATACGAAAATATTATGTTTTTAAGGAAAAAGTACAGGATAATGCTATACGACGCAAGAAATTTTTTACATGTCATTTTTCGCCTCTGACGTTATAATTCAATATGGCTGCAGAGAGACAACCGAGTCTTAAGTGATTCTGTTTAGACATGATATATTATGAGTCCGTTCCTTAAAGGCTTCAATACTTCCTCTCTAGAATTCTAATGAAAATCATATTACATGCTTATAAAATTGTGATAAATATTTTGATATATTGAATTTTGTGAAAAAATTTTTTATTTTATATCCCATTTAAATTTTAAGTGATGTTATATCATACTTTGAGTAGTAATATTGAAAACAATAAGAACTACTTTATTCTGATATTAGCACATTTAGAAAATTTGTTATCAATAATAACATACTTGCAAAATTGTAAAATTATAACTAAATGTTTATAATTTTTCTAGTTCAATTATATTTGTTATGTGGCCCATTCTGTTATATTTATACATTATATATGAAGCAATTTCAAACAATTCTCGGAATTAACTGATACAATATTTGTAATTAAATAACATATAAAATGATGAATTTTAAATTCTGCCAAAACATCACAACATGAGCAGAGACATTAATCGTGTTATCATAAATATATGATAACAGTAATAAAAATAATTTCAAGTTTAGTACACTAAAAAAACAATTATTATCTTTTGCAATGTATGATTTAGAATGCAACAGCACAATTGAAAAACTTCTTGCAAAATAGTTCTCAGGAATGTTTTTAATAGTTTTGTTGTCGTTAATAAAAATATATAATTACACAAAAACATTTCGAAAAAATATAATATAAATAATCAAATATGTCATATTTCTTAGAAAAAAGGAAAATAAATATTTTTGAAGCTACCTCCTAAATTTTATAAAGTTTTATAAGAAGATTTTCAATAAATTTAATTTTATTTTACTATTGTAACGATAATTCTGTTTAATTTGTATTTTTTATTTCATCATAATTTTCTTATATATTTCCAACAACCAATTTTGTCAATTTTCAATCTTGCAGATGTTCTTGCCGATATCTCGTTAACATATGATAAAACTCAATTTTTCCTTAATGAACGTGTACGTTTTAATTTACTCTTAAAGACAAAAACAGCGATATTAATGTTAGAAATATCTGTCAGAGGACTAGCGTGTGTTAACTGTTTTGATAGTTTCCATTTTATTTATGTAGTAAAAGATGTCACGACGTTATGTACATATCGAACTATAAGTTTTAGCTACACATTTACATGTGAACGTTTATATTCAATTAATTATATATAACATTGCATGATATATGATCTTTAGTAAAAGAGCAGAGAAAGTATTACAGAAACATAAATCATCGATATACTTACTAGTGTATATCTCTTACAGATCTGTTATCAGACACACAAAATAGTTAATAATTTATCACTATTTGTTTCTTTAATTATCCCGAGACATATGTAACTATTTTTGTGAAAAGATATTAAGCAAATGTAAAGGAATTTTAAAATTTCTACAAAGATTGTTTGAAGAAAGAAATAATTAATTTGTTCCTTTAAATACCATGTAACAATGGTTATAGAATAACTTCTTCCTGTTCCCAATTTTTATAATCTTGTTTTTTAATCTCAAATTTCTTTCTGTTGAAGCATAATACAAGATTATAATTTTAATTTAAAATATTTCATTACAATATATTTATCTTTTTAAATATGTGCCATTTTCCTTAGATTTTTATTAATTGTAATACCAGTTATGTCATAATGTGATTTAAGTGTTTTTGTTTCTGCACAATGATTACATAATTTTCTGATAATGAAGTTATATATACATTAACATTTTATGTCAACATTCTAGAATTATATTCAATATGTTCCGCACAATTTTATGGTGTTCCAAAGTAGTTTATACTATATATTTATGTATCGTTTTCTAAAATCATTCAATCTGTTCTGATCAAGAAAATGGAGAATGGAAATATATAGTTAATATATGCGTACATTTCACTGGTTATTTGGGAAGAAGTCTTTCTTCATATTATTATACGTAAAGAGAAGCTGTGATTTTATTTTATTCATTATCAGTGGAGCTTGGCGCTTTATCAATACAGCTGATTATACAATATAGAGTTTATGTACTCTGTCCTACAAGTCGTAAATTTGATTTAAAAGTAATTTTAAAAAATTGAGCTTTCAACGGTAACAAAAATTTACTTGATTTATTCACCTGGTTTATTCTTCAATTAATCTGAGATCAATTTTAATGAAAAAATAATTATAATGAAATTAGTATAAAAAATTAACAGATTCTCGATTGATAAATTGTGTAATATTTTTCAAAAATGAAGCCTAACAAGAAAAAATATGCGACTTTAGAACACTATGCGATGGATATGTTGATTGTTAACATCTCGTTGAGATATTCTACGATTCTACGATACTGTTGTCAATTGTAAATGTATGCTTCAAGAATGCAGATTCTAAGTGCCAGGCTGTTATTATAGTCATGCATAGTCATTTGCATAAGAATACCATACACCTCTTGAAGGATTGCAAAAGTGAGAATCGGATGTGTGTGCCAAGTTGTAAAATGTGTACAGATATAAGATAAGGAATCATTAAGGGATAAGCAATGAATTTTTCTAATGGAATCAGAGACGGTGAATGATGAAATATGCGAAAAGAATGTGAGAGAGAAAGAGAGTGAGAAAAAGTGTTTATTCGCGAGAAGCGAGTGTTTCGTTGAAGACTGACATACAATTATTTAGTATATTGGGAGAAAATTAATGCGTTACTAATACAAATACATGCAAGGTCTTGAAATTGCGCGGGAGAAAATTAATTTAAGTTTCTGGAAATTAAATGTAAAATATTAAGCACATCTTTATTTTTCTAAATAAAATATTTGTTCATTTCTTATTTTCCATTCATACTTGAATAGACTGCTGGGATGAAAATATTTAATGATTTGCAAAATATTAATCCAAAAATTTATCCAAATTGAACAATAAGAGAAGTTACTTTCGATTTTTCAATTTGTAAAATTGACTTTGTCAAAAATGAAGCGTCAATATGTAAAAAAATTGATTGTACATTTTCAATTTATTTTTTCACGTAGGATTACTTTCCCGATTACATTACAGGGTTTCCTGTATATGTATATAAGCTTATGATACCCGGTAAAAAAGCTGTAATATGTACGAATAAATGAAATTAATGTGTATATATAAATATCTCAATAAATAAATAAAAAATATGCCGTATAACATTAATTTCATAATCAATTTCGCGTCACACATCGAGAATGAAATTACGATCATATATCTGGCGAGTTTTTCAAAATTCATTGCCAAGATTAAAAATCCCATAGTTCAAGTAATGTATATTACATGCATAGCAGCAAATTTTGGAATACTTCTAATCTTTTGATGCAAATCGCTTTTCATTTACAATTTTATTCAAATTCAATCGACACTCTTCGACTCTTCTCGAATAGTATCGATTAAGTTTATCAAAATTACGTCAAGAAGTATGCTCCAAAATTTATCACTAACGCTAATAATATATAATATATGTTACACGAATTATAGATTTTTAATATAGTTAATTTTTTTATAAAATATAGTTAATTTATAATATTAGTGAATTTTAGAACATACCCAAATGTGTCAACTGTGTTTTCTAAACTATTTATCTCAAAATGTCCTCTCCGGGAAAAATTTTACTCAAAATATATAGTACAGACAAAATATATAGTACGCAGAGAGGAACTTGAGAGCAGCCATCCCGGTCTTTTTCCTAACACTGTAAAAATCGCCGTACATTACTGCCACCAACGTCTATAATTGAGCCCGTGGAACTATAAGTCATATCTATTTTGCGACACTGCCGATAAAATCGTGTTTCACGAAACAGATGTGGTGCGTATCCGTGCTACATCCATAAATTGAGATGAAGAATGCATGTGTAATTTTAATATATATATATATATATATATATATATATATTA